TGTCAAATATACAACTTAAAAATGGTAAGTTACACTATAACCATGACTTAGAGGCCAAATGGGTCCAAAGTCATGAATACCAAAGTTATTCCATATGGCATTCTAAATATGTTTAAGGTACTTCTAAGATCCCACAACATTTTATGCATTGGTCACATGTAAATCCTAGCATTTGCAGGTATATAAACCAACATTTCATGTGACAAAGTATAAGAATGAGATGAAATTTCATATGCTCATGTTCATGAATGCTTGGATGATGCTTGTGCTCATGAAATGCAGGTGTCAAATGCAATGCTTAACACAGAGGTGTTACAATCACGCCTAGAAGATATAAGACAATTCAACATAATTCATTGCTAAGAAGATTTGGATGGTTTTCTGAATGAGATTCAGGCATATGAATTATGCCTGCTAATTTGGGACAGCAGGTTTTAGTGTCCGGAAAGGCTGGTTCCTTAAAACTGTTTCTATTGAGTCAAAGAAACCAAGATCATACACATCACTATTAAAATTACAGCACAAGTGCAAATCGTGAACATTGAGTCTCTTCTCTCTTTATACCTTTTTCTTCTCTCTTTATACCTTATTTCTTTTATTACTTCAGCATTTTATGTGCAAGGTCTGAACTAAGGGCTACGTGGTTGGGTTCTAAAACTTGCCCAACCAAAATTAAGGCATTCTTACAAATTTTGGCTACCCATTAGTTTACTAAAAAAATGGCACATCAATTTCTATGTCCAAAATCATGGCAAAAATCTCAATAGAAACTTATTGAATCGCACAAGAGGGGAATGTGCTCGCTGCTATGTTACGGCACTCAACCGAATGCATGTTTGTGTTTTTTTGTCCTAACTTTGACAAGCTTTAATTTTGACAAGTCTAAGTTTTAGTTTGCCATGATTTTGGTTGGTCTTTTTCTTTCTTTTTTTTATATTAAGGAAAAACACGAACTGTCATACTGAGAGTGACTCCGGCTCGGATAGACATGCTCCAACACAAAAAGGATAACCAACATGAGTTACTCTGTATTCACAACCAGCAAACCATTTGGGACTCATCATTGGAATTCTTAGATCATTCCAGACGCAAGAGATAAAAAGGCGGCCCCTCTATGGATCAGTATATTAGAGCTCATTTCTTGAACTCTGCAGACACATGTGGGCCGGAACGAAACCTATAAATAGAAAGCGAACAAATAAACGCAGTGCAATGATTTACTCTTTCAAAGCTACAAATAGAAAACAAATAACAGTACCATCGAGTATATGAAAGTAGTACGCTCAAAGAGGTACTGAAGACCATTCGATTAGACGAATGCAGGAGCCGCCGATTTAGGCCGTGTTTGGCACCGTTCACCCCGCTTCAGCTGACATAGATTGATATGTACTGTAGGGTGAAGTTGTTTCGTATTTCGAGGCGCAAAATGAACCGGAAACAGTCGAAGCGGTCTTGAGCTGAAATTTTTAGCTTCTCTTGGCTTACTACAGTGCCCTGTGTCAGGTGAATGGTGTCGATACAGTGTACTGTGCCAGATAATCTGGAGCGGTTGTGGGCGTCACCAAACATACCCTTAGTGCTGTGTTTTCATAAGGATGCTGCATCTTTTTCAGCAGCTCTAGACTCCATTCTCTAGATATCTAGTCCATCATGCCAGTGGTCCTTGGATTTAGGCTCCGTTTAGATGTCTCCAAAACCCAAAATTTTTTTTCAGTAGAATTTGCGGCACACGCATGTAGAAGTACTAAATGTAGCGAAAAAAAACTAATTCGAAGCGAGAAAGAGGGATCTTTTAAGTCTAAATAGTCCATAATGGACAATTTTGTCAAATACAAACGAAAAAGTCTTCTGATAAAAAGCCAAAAAATGGCCCTTAGCTATCAAGTACGAGTAGAATTTTCTGCAAATTCGAAGGAAGAGGAACAGTCTCTCTAATGGAGGGCATTGGTCCCCGCGCGGCAAATGCAAATGACGGATAGGTTCGCTTCATATGGCCTCGCCGTACTGTAATGATGAATATGAAAACTTGATTAGCACGCTTGTGAACTATTGGTGCAAGTAAAAGAAGTTAGTTGAGGTAATCAATGTCGAAGCAAAACTAATTCTGGACAGATTTAAATAAAAAATAAACATTTCGAGTATTCTTCTCGTTTTCACGTGGACAAGAAAAAAAAATGAGACTTTATTTCTTGAACATTTGGCAATTCGCATTCAACTTTTATGCTAGTGGTGAACTGGGCGTTGTGTTAGTTAAGTTTCTTGTGATCGAATGTGTTAAGTTCTTGACTTGGTACAAATACTTGCATCTTACTAAAATTTATCATTTAGTGTTTAATTATACTATTCTTTCAAGGAATGTCTATACAAGATAAGTCAGCAAAGCACGTGTGGTGAGTTTGTCAATCTCATGATCAACATGTTCAGTTAATCGGAAGTGCTCTAAAAACATGTTGTGTATGTGCGTGCTTATAGGGGTGAGCGCATGTGTTTACACGAGTGAGTGAATAAATAGCGCATGTACACGAGAGCACATATGTACTGTAAATTGAAAGAAAAACTTCCTTGAATTTTTTAAGGAATCCATTTTTGTTTCAAAACATAAAAATACGTCCATTCATTTCGTCGCCATGTAAAATTGAGGTGCCTATGGTGCCCTTTATCAAAAAAGAATTGAGGCCCAAAGCTTCTCCTCCACTCACATGTCATGTGCCATACCGAGCCTTCTGCTCTTGCATGTATTTTCATCTCGTTCTCACATCAAGTGACCACCGGCCAATCCACTGAAGTGAAGGAGAAGACCACCAAATCACCGTGATGACTAGAGAGGTGGCCAAAGAGAAGTTATCGACGCAAAGTAGCACCGGACAATCCGATGAAGTGTCAACAGGAACAATGGATCATCATGTGAAGAACAAATAAATCTTCAAGATTTAAATAAAAAATAAACATTTCAAGTATTCTTCTTGTTTTCACATGGACAAGGAAAAAAGAGACTTTATTACTTGAACATTTGGCAATTCGCATTCAACTTTTATGCTAGTGGTGAACTTTGCGTTGTGATAGTTAGGTTTCTTGTGATAGAATGGGTTAAGTTCATGGCTTGGTACAAATGCTTTTAATTCCACTATTCTTTCAGCAAATGTCTATACAAAACAACTGGTAAAGCATGTGTGGTGAGTTAGTCAATCTTATGACCAATATGTTCAATTTTTCGGAGGTGCTATAAAAGTACGTTGTGCATGTGCATGCTTATAGAATTACACAAAAAATGTTGTCATCACAAAAAATATTTAAAACAGATTGTATTTGATGTTGTTTTTGATTAAAAATGTCACAAAAATATTTAAAACCGATTCTAATTTCGGCGCTTCATCTTTTTGATGTTTTTTTTCCGTGGTGAGAACTTTGCCAACTGGACCCTAGTCTTGAAACTCAGGGGCTGACCCGCGGAGTTTTAGCATAAGCTGTCATCACGAGTAAAGCTTTACACTCAGAACATACATCACACATGTACTTTATTATAGTTTCGTGCGTTGTTTGATGCACAATTTTAAAACCAACCTTAACAAACCGAGTTAAAGTTACAAATTATTTAAAATCAACTAATTTTGATTTTAAAAGAAAAATAAATGTACTCCAACTGTTCCAAATTAAAATTTAACTTTAGCATTTTAAGTTTAACTAAAATTATAAAATTATAGAAAGAATTACAAAGATATATGACATTAAATATGTATACTATAAAAGTATAGATAATGAAGAATCTAATGATACTTATTTGGTATCATAAATGTTATTATTTTATTATTTAAATTTGGTTGAATTTAAAATATTTTAACTCTTTAGAAAAATTAAAATGACTTATAATTTAAGATGGAGGGAGTAATAATTAAAACAATTTTAAAACAAGTCATCAAACTAGCTCAACAAGCTGTCTTCCCCTTAAGGGCCCATTCATTTGTAGCCCGGAATGGTCTAGAATTGTTTCTGGCCAGGAACCATTCAATAATTTATACTGGCCTGGAATCAATCCTGGCATGGAAGGGCCGGGTTAACCGAACGACGCCTAAATTGTTTTCTTCGGCGCAGTATCTTCTCAGTATCATAAAATTTTACATCATGTCACAACGAATGTTTAACACATGCATAGAGTATTAAATATAGACTAAAAAAATAACTAATTACACAATTTACGACTAAATTATGAGACGAATCTTTTAAGCCTAATTGGCCCATAATTTGATAATAAAGTGCTGCAGTAACACATGTACTAATAAAGATTAATTAGGTTTAATAAATTTATTTCGTGGTTTACTGACAAATTCTATAATTTATTTTTTTATTAGTATCCGAATACCCTACAATACCCATGTAACATCCGATGTGACACTCTTAGAGTTTAACTAAATAATACCCATGTAACATTTGATGTGACACTCTTAGAGTTTAACTAAGGCCTAGTTTAGTTCAAAAAATTTTCACCCCAAACTATCACATCAAATCTTGCGGCACATACATGGAGTATTAAATATAGACGAAAAAAATTAATTACACAGTTTGGTTGGAAATCACGAGACAAATGTTTTAAGACTAATTAGTCCATGATTAGTCATAAGTGCTACATTAACTAACATACGCTAATAATGGATTAATTAGGTTTAATAATTTTGTCTCGCAGTTTACAGATGAGCTATGTAATTAGTTTTTTTTATTAGTATTTAAAAAGCCATTCCAATATTCTGAAACATTCAATGTGACGCCCATAAATTTTGATTTCGTAAATAAACACAGCTAAACAAAGGCCTGTGTGTTTTAGGTCTGCAAGAGGCCAATCGCCCGCGGTATTATCCATCCACCACGCGCCCTCTTCTTTCACGCCGCCTCGCCTTCCTCTTTCAGCCCTCGCCGTCCATCGTCCTCCTCTGCGCCCGTACGCTCGCCTCAAACCCCCCGAGCGCCGTGCTAAAACCCTAGCCCTCGAATTCCCCCTTGCCCGCTACATGGCGTCCTCAGGTGCCGCCTCTAACCTCTGGGTACTGCTTGGCCTCGGCATCGCGGGCGTCTTCCTGGCGGCGCGGCGACTGAGGCGCCCTGCGCGCCCAGACCATGGCGCCTTCATCGCTCGCCTCGAGCTCCTCCCGCCGCCCCAGCCTCCACCACCGCAAGCGCCCCACCCGCTCACCGGACTCTGCTTCGCCATCGCTGACGCGTAAGTTCCAGCGACCCCTGACCCTCGTGTTTGGTTGATTCTATGCTTTAGCGTCGGATTTGGATCGGTGGAAGGCTTTTTAGAGCTGCATGATTAGTAATTCGATCAATTGGATAATGCTAGCTTGTTATTGATGTCACGTATGATGTTGTGAGTGGTGGAATTTTTGGCTGGTATCACTGAGCTAGGGCGATACAAATTCATTTGACATGATGCATTGGATGCCCATCATGCCAGAGTATTGCATGCTTTTGCTCTTACCTATTGCAGCATAACATGATTGTGTGTTTTCTTTAGCTTGCTCTACGTTGTAAAAGTGGATACGTTCTGTCAATTGACAGTAAATTTCCTCACACTAGACAAATTCGTGCATGACCTAAAAAGGGCAGACCCAGTGCCGGAGGCTCCCACATGAGTGGGGTCTGGGGAAGGGAAAAGCTGAGGCAAGCCTTCCCCCCCACAAAATCTGCGGAGAGGCAAATTCGTGCATGACCTGCCTGAGCCAAAAGGGATCAACAAAGGAGCATGAATGACAGAGCTTGTTTTCCGTTGCAAATGTGGATATGCTATTGGAACCGAGTAAATTGCTTCACATCAGACAACTTTATGCATGACTTTCCTGATACCAAAACGAAGGCTGCAAAGGAACATGAATGAAACAGCGAAAATGCTCCTCATCGTGTGTCCGACGCATTGGTCACTCCTTCCGCGTAGGCCCACTTCTCCAATCCAATTAATTAAAACACACAGTTTCCACCATCAAACCTCCACCACTCATTTTCCATTGACCCCCCTGCTCGTCACGCCTCATCCCTCTCCAATTCCCCATTTGCTTCTATCCACTCCCGTGCTCTCCTCTCTCCTCACACCTCATCTCTCCAAGCACCAACCTAGTGCTGTTCACGCCAAATCCGAGATACCAGAGACCACATCTGTCAGGAACCAAACAGCAGCATCCATGTCCCCCTATCAATGCCACCGCCACTCTAACATGGAGAAGTTGGCTGCCATGGTTGCCGGTCGCGTCCTGCTCGGCTGCTCCTGCTCCCTCGCAGGTCAAGGAGGAAGTCAAGGGGAAGGGGAAGGTAGAGGGGCAGGTGGCATACCTTGGCATCCTTGGAGGAGATTATCATCGTCAAGAACAACGCCGATACAAGCCTTGGTGCCGTGCGCGGCAGCAGCACTCTGGCCACCAGAACCTCCATGGAGCACTTGGTGCGGCAATGCTTCGTTACTTTTCACGGAATGTTTCGATAACTTAAATGATTTGTTGCAATAGGTTTTCTTGGATGTTAAAAACTCAGCCCTTGGAGGAAAAACCACCCCAGGTATTAGGTGAAGAAGAGATTTTCTCGCTGCAGGACCGAAAAAACACCCTGAAGCCCTATACACACAGGGCATCTGTCCAGGAGCAACCAGGATGCGGCTGCAGGTCACTTATATCTCTGCAGCTGCGTCACTGGAACAGCAGGGGTGAGGGTTGTTTTTTTTTAACCCAGCCCTGGAATTTCCGCACGAGAGCAACAGCAATGGCACAAGAGGTAGGCAGATGTGGAGGGAAAGGGATGAATGACAATAATCCCATTGTGCTTGGATTAATTAGAAGTAGATATGTTATCACTCGTGGATTAAATTAAATGAACTGTGGATCAAAGGGATAGGACAGATGGATGGCGGATGCTGCGTCCAGTGCCAGATCTGGACACAGCATCTGGGCGCTAGCAACGCCAATGGAACAGAGTTTTACCTGATGATGGGATTTGTAGTTACCTGCCATAAAAATAGACAGGGCTTTACTTTCTTTTAAAGAATGGTTGAAGTGGTTTGCATTGAGAACTTTGAGACATAAGATAGTATTCTACCAGTTTCAACATGATACTTTGCATGCCAACCATCTCATTGTATCTGCAGCAGTATATGGTGTATAGATGCTACCAGTTATAAAGCCGTTACTTGAAATAAGGTATTCTTAAATCTAAACTGGTTTTAAGGAATAAAATAATTAGTCATTCCTCATACTACTTTTGGCTTCTTGGTTATGTAGTGACAACCACCCGGTGAATTAGTATCTGGACCAAGGATAATATTGCTTCTACTTGCGTTTAAGAAGCAGCTATAAATTTCTTGTACTTTTTACCCTACCAAAAATTAATATTTAATACTATGCCAACGTATAGATATATAATATAGGTTTGCCCTCACTACTCTCTGAAAACGTTCATGTAGTTTTTTTTTTGGTGGGTGGGTGGGTTGGGGGGGTGGACATTTTCATGCTATGCCATGCTTCTTCATGTCTATATATTATGGTAGAAAGGTTGCTGTTGTTTTGTGATACACTAGTAATTTCAGATCTGTAGGTGTTGATAAAATATTTGATAATTGTTGCACGCAAATCATGAGAAAGAAGATTTAATATAAATGCTTGCCCTACCTGGGGGTCAAATTTATTCTTTCCAGTGTTTGCATGAAATAGTTACATGTCATTATTTCTGGAACTGACAACGGGTAGATCAGTGCTACATCTGCAATGGTGCTTTCTGTCATCTTGCATTATTTACCCTTGGTCTGCAGATTGCATGTCAGTGGTTATATTACAAGTTTCGGCAGTCTTGAATGGGCAAAGACACGCGATGCAGAAGTGCAAACATCTCCAGTGGTTTCAGCTCTTGTCAATGGTGGTGCTATTTGTGTTGGGAAAACTGTTATCGATGAGATGGCATACAGGTAAAATATTTTTTCCTTGACATTTGTTTTGTAGAGCTGATTTCTCCTTGTCTCTTGCTGATTCTATTTTTTATGCATATCATAATGATAACAAAAGCTCGTTGCATTTATTAGGATATCTTTTTTATCCGTATTCTGTGTGTTTAACTTAATAATGCACATTATTCTTTCAGTATCCATGGTGAGAATAAATATTTTGATACACCAACAAATCCTGCTGCTCCGGATCGAGTACCAGGAGGATGTTCAAGCGGATCAGCTGTTGCAGTTGCTGGTGGAATGGTAGATTTTGCCCTAGGTGAGCTAATTCTTTTTTAATAAATATTTGTAGAATTTCTGGACAGCTTGTGCATGCTACGAGCTTTCTTTATTCAGGAGGCATTGGTTATTATTGGACTGAAGCTTTCTTAGTTATCTTAAATAAATCTTATAATATCACATGTGTTATGACTTTACGAGCAGTGGGTACCCAACTGAACCATCTCTATTCTCTAAGCTCCAAGAAAGAAAGAAAAGTGGTATCAGTTTGCATGCAACTCGTAGTAAAATAAAAAAAAAACATGCTTTGAATCTTGATGAATGCTTGCATATGTTTTTGATATTTTCCCCTTTAATGTTTTCATTTCACGAGAATTTGTTCTTTTGGTACACTGTTCACACAATATGTTGCAAAAGAGGGCTTAATCCTACTAATCATTTGTAAAGTGCAATATAAGAAAGGATCATTAAGTTTTGATATAACAGTGAGATTTCTTTTCAAATGTTTAGGTTAGAGTTGGAACCATTACATATCTCTCTTAGTATGTGCAAATATTCTTTTCTTATGGTTCAGTTCTTGTAAAAAGTGTCTTTTATATAGAGTTGGTAGCTGTCAACTATCGTGGTGCAGCTCTGAAGTATACTGCATATGTGCTTATGTGCAGCTCTCTTATTTTGGTTTACTTAGGGTGTCTTTCTCTTATTACCATAGAACTGCTGCTGAATAACACACTGATCTTGATCCTAACAGTATATTCTGTTCCGTCATCTTTATGCGCAAACAAGTGTACTTTGATGCCCCTCACATATCTAGACTCCAGCCAGACGCCCCTCACATATCGAAGACAATTTTCAAACTTGACTTTTGGCTCTTGGTCAATATTGAGCTTGGTGCACCAACCATTTCACCCAAAACCTCATGCTTTTGTGTAAAGGTGTGCAGTAATTTCAGTTTTGAAAGCCTTGTTTGACTTCTTTCCACTCCTGTCTAAGAAAGAGCATGATAGATCTCACCCTCACATTGCACACCATCGTCAGTCGTCTGGCATGCAAAGATTTTGGCATTCAAGAGTCTTTAAGTTTGTTCCCCAAAGATGGTCTTAAAAAACTTATTCTCAAAAAGGTCTTCAGTATCTTCTCTGCTAACTTTCAGGGATGACTCTTCAGTAGTATTTATGTCCTCCCAATTGTTCCACAGTCTGACAGTCTCTTTAAAATCATCAAACTGGACGAAATTTTGAAAGGATGGAATAAATTGTCTAAGAATTTTCTGGTCATGAACCATCACTATAATGATCTCTTATGCATGTCCGAGAAAAAAAAAAAAAAAAGAACCGTCAATATCCATGCGTGCATGCGTCACAGCCATTTCCTTCTTGTCCCTTCATTACCTGGTGTTATGCTATTCACACTTTGAAATATGCATTGGGATGATGTCACTTCGTTGTTTATGCTGTGTCTTTGCTCATGGTAATTATTCAGTCAGATTGTGCAATGCATGATGTATAGAAGTAAAAAGAAAAATTATGAAGATCCTACCAGGGAACCAAAAACTGGAACTAACCTGCCCGTAAATACCATACTGGTTGGTAAGAGTTGTTTGCATACTATTTTTGATTTTTTTTTTGGTATAGTAGTTCTAATGTTTATGAAAAAACGCACACACAATATACCGAGGAATAGTGTGTTAACAGAAAAAATATAAATTGATTATACAGGATACCGAGAATAATACAGTATTATTTTCATTTGATTAATGGTACAGAAAATGTGGTTCGGCAGGTATTGACTCGATTGGAGGTGTAAGGGTACCAGGTGCTTATTGTGGTGTCTTGGCATTCAGGCCTTCGCATGCTGTGGTTTCCAGCTGTGGTGTCATTCCTGTTGCGCCTAGCCTGGACACTATAGGTATTTGATGGAAGTATTTTTCTCCTTAGTGTGGAGTTTATGTCATGAGTGGTGTAACCTCTTTCAGAACCGTGCTCTGAATCCAATCTTTTTGAACTCAGTGTGGCCCAATATTTTATTCTTCTATTACAGGTTGGTTTGCAAGGGATCCAAGTGTGTTGCATCGTGTTGGGCATCTTCTTCTTAGACTTCCTTATGCTGGTATTCACCAACCTAGAAATTTTTACATAGCAGATGATTGCTTTGAACTTTCAAAGATACCCGCTAGGAGACTTACTCAGGTGGTGACAAAATCTGTGGAGAAGCTCTTTGGAAGTATGTGTTTACTACTTTACTCTTTGTGATTTCCTTCATTATTTCAAAACTTTTTGGATTCTTTTCTGGCAGTTAACTTCCTAATGGTGAAGGAGTTCTTGTTTATTTTATTAGGACAAGTACGTCGTGTGAATCTCGAAAGTTATATGAGTTCAAGAATATCCGGCCTGAGTAACTATTCAAATGGGCATAAGAACGGGGATTCAAAGTTCCCTCTGTTGCTAGCACTTTGTAACGCCATGAGATCACTTCACAAGTATGTGTCTTCCTAACAGTCATACTGTTGCTATTAAAGAAATAAGGAGTGATGGTTGGATGTGAAATATTATCTGTACTATGCAATCTATGTCTTCCAGTACTCCAGCAACTTTAGTTGAAGTTGCTTATAGGTTTTTGACACATAGCTCTCAAGGCCTGTTCGGAAAGATTGTTTTAGGATCCAAATAATTAGGTGTTAGTTGAAATGTTAATTAAATTAGAAAAAGTTGTTGAGCATTCCCCTTCTTCCGAAGTGTTGGAATATAAGTGAATTGCCCACCTCTCCCCATCATCTTAAGCTTTTGGGTTGAACTGGTCGGTGCATGCAACTCAATACGAAGGGGCCGTAAGTTGGACTTTTTACCTGCAGAGTGTAGTTGCAAATTCTGTGGTTTATAATTGCAAATCCTTTAGTTTTCCAAATGATTGCAAATTTTGTCCATGCACCCACCACATCTATTGTTAATTTGTTATGCCCTATCTATTATTACTTGCTTGACACTGAAAGGCTTTGTTGTTGTTGTTGTATCTATTATTACTTGATTGTAATTCAACTTATCAGTTGTGTGTTGTAATGGTTAGCTTTTTCAATTTGTCATCCTTTAGCAATTTGGCATCATTTGGTGTAATAATGTTAATTCACGAATTGGATCCAGGCGGGAATTCAAAGATCAGCATATGGAGTGGATAAACTCAGTTAAGCCCGCTGTGGATGCTCGCATAGTCAGTGATTTGTCTGAGGATGGTGATTCAGATATTGATGGCTGCCAAGATGTGAGGAAAGAAGCACGCTCTGCTCTAAGTGAACTTCTTAAGGTACTGGGACATTGATTTCAGAATGAACTAACTATTGTTCAGAATTTATTGCTTCTAGCCTAGCCACCGTAGCGCTGCGGATACTGTAGCACGCTCATCGCCGCCACTTCCCTCGACTCTCTCCTCTCGATCCCAACAACCCCAACGCCATCCATAACAACCAGCAAGAATTAAGAAGGAAACTCTTCCCTCTTGCTTGCCGCCGTGGGCAAACGCCAGCGGCGGTTCTCTGATGTATAGGTACCGCTATGGGAACCGCCGCTCGTCTATGCTGGGCGTCTCCTTATGATGGTGGCGGGATTCATGCGTTTTTTTGGGAAGGACCGCAGGTCCTGCATGCGAGTTCGGCGCCCGGCCCTTTCCCGCAGCCGGTCAGCTGGCCGCCGCAACCGTCCAACGGACTCTTGACCGCCGAGGAGAGCAGCAGTCCCGCGCTGCTTTCCACCTCTCCTTCACTGATCCCGTCGTTCACCACCCCCAGCCCCGTGCCGCCACAGCAGGACAGCGATGGCGTCTTCTACGGGGCGTGGATTGCAGCGGTGGTGCATTTTACCGGCGGCGGAGACGACAACACCCCATCTTCAAGCCGGGCGGCGGCGTCCGGTCATCCCTACAGCAGCAGTTGCAGCTCACGGAGAGGAAGCACAGTTTCCTAAGGCCGCTGGCGGTCAGAAGATGCGCTCACCTATGCATGGCGACCTTGGCGGTGGTCGACCTCAAGATAGGGGGCGCGACCTAGCATGATCCAACTTTCTTTGTTGTCTTCAGCGCAAGCATGGTGTTTTTTTCATGGGTGGCAAACTCCTTTCCTTGTCACGTGGGGGACGCTACTAGCGCCATCGCATTCGCCACGTCCGTCGTGTTTTCAGGGTTTGTTGCCGTCTATGCCTGATTTTATTAGAAACACTATGTGTGACCAAATTCTACTATTTTTTGTTCGAGAACAATTCTGTTCTTTGTTATCCATTCACAGTTTCTTCAGTGATGCATTCCATGTTTTTTTTTTACTAATAAAATGTGTCAGTGGAGGCATCCACTCGAAGGAACATTGTATGTCAGTGGGGTGAAAGTAATGTTTCAGCCCATTAGGTTGTAATACTGTAGATGTCTCCCAGTGAGATTAGAAACAACCGAGTTTACTTTTTGTGGCCAAAAAGACTTCCTCAACTCTCCTCTCGATCCCAACAATTTTTTCCTGATTGATTAAGAAGAAACCCTTAATGGATTGGCAAACGCCCAAGGCCGGTTTTTCCTTTCTAGCCGTCATGCACTTTTGCCTTTCCCTCTCAATCCTCCAATACTGTTTATTTTTGTGTTCTATGATGTTGCTATGTTTTCCATAGCAGTTAGCACAGTTTTATGATCAAGCTTTAATGGTTTATTAGAAACATATAGAAAAGTAGTATTTTTGTTCGAGAACAATTCTGTTCTTTGTTATCCATTCACAGCTGAATCTGATGCATTCCATGTTTTTTTTCTTACTAATAAGAATGTACAATTAACCACTCGAAGGAATTTATGTTTAGTGTAGTACTAATGCCTTTTACTTTTTGTGGAAAAAGAATCCTTTGTAATTTTTTTTCCTGATTGATCTGATGATGTGCAATACTTTTCAATCCATCGGTTTTCTGTATAGGAAAGTAGGGATTCTGTTGTGATTCCAACTGCTTATTTTTGATGATGTGCTAATCCCTGGTGATTCCAACTGCTTTGGGGTGCCCCCCAAAGCTTAACGCTAAGGAGCTCTCGTCTGAAAGCTACAATTGTCAGACATTATGCCTTATGTCTTTAGCTAGTATGTCAGGGTGTTGCCAGGTACAGTATTTCTGTAGACCATCTTTCACTGATAATTTGGGTTTACTAGCACATAAACTATGTGAACATGTTTTTTCTTCTCTTCCAGTGATCTGCTGAACCTTCTTTTTCTTTATGAGGCTGCAAGCTTGCAATCATTTGTCTCCATTGGCATTTTGAACAGGACACTGAACATTATTCCTAAATTCTAACAAGCGATAAATATAATAACTGCTATCATGTCATGGACATAAACTAGCGAAATGCATGTCCTATGGTAAGCATAACAGCTTGTAGAGTGTCTGAAGTTTGTAGTTAAGCACTGTTGAGCCAATGAAGAGTCCTAGAGTGACGATCAGTTGATCTTTACACAGCATGAGTTAAGCTAGCAGAATAATTAAGTTTACTGAGATCTTCTATTGGGTAGGACAAACTTTATTCTGAATGAAACAGAATCTTTGCAAAGTTGTTCCAAAGTGTAGCAGATTACTCAGACTCTAACAACAGAATTGAACAATGTTTGGAAAACAAGGGAAGGGGGCAGATGATTTATTACATGGGCTCAATCAGTAGCAGAATTCCAGACCTGAAAGTTCTCTCTCTCTCTCTCTTTTTAATTCTTTGAGTGATGGAGAACTTGAGATGCAGATACTATACTACTGCAACCTGTGTAAATGAAGCCACTACTCTTAGGACTTAGGTTTGAACCTGGGTGTGAATATAAGTAGTCATTGATAGATAGTGCCCCAAACATGCCTTTTTTTTTTAGTTGATAGTGCCATGTCATACACTAATACTTATTATGGAATAAATATGCTAATAGAATTTGGGTGAATATTTGGGGAGTATGCATCTGGATAAAGATGATGAGTTTCACTATCATTCCTAGCTTTAGGTGCATAGCGTGTGCGCTTTTCCAGTAAGCACTCTTTAGATCTGTGCTAACACCCAGCTGTTTGATGACCATTTCAGGTCTCTATTCCTTTAGGTACACATGATAAGTGTCCCATTTCAGTTTCATTGATTGCTAGGCATGGCGGTGATCGGTTTTTGTTGGACACCACTCAAACCATGTATACGACCATCCAAGAGCAAGTGGAAATACTAGCGAAATCTAGTGTTTCAAGTAAACAGGCGATGAATGAAGAAGCAGCTGAAGCTGCTAAAGAGAGAGTTAGTTTTTCTTATTGCACATTCTTGTAGGATGTAAAATTTTCTAACTCCTGTGCAGATCCTCTAGTAGCACTCTGGCTTAACAGCAATAAAACAATGTTCACTTAGAAGAACCTTATGGCATCAAAGAAAGTTATTTTTTCTTATTGCTCATTCAATGTGTCAAAGAACATCCGGATGGTAGTTCACTTAAGTTACATAGTCCTACTGTGCCAACAGTCTTGGGCATACTTATTTCTCATATGCCAACAGTCTTGTAGGATTAGTATGTTAACATTGTTCTTACTAGTTTTCTTTTTAATGTTTGCTTCTTGACAGGGTAATGCTGCATTTAAGGAAAAGCAATGGCAAAAGGCAGTAAATTTCTATACTGAAGCAATAAAGTTAAATGGAAAAGTGGCTACATACTACAGCAACAGAGCTGCTGCCTTTCTAGAACTAACTAGGTATGATTTCCCCCTATCTAGCACCTTTTTTTCTTAAAAAAATTTAATGATTTGACATGAGTGTTTTTTCAACACTTCTTTGTTACTCGATGGTTCCTTTCAGCTACCGTCAGGCTGAGGCAGATTGCACAAGTGCCATCGACCTTGATCCAAAGGTTAGGTCCTGCTTTTTTGTATTTTCGGTTTTGCATTTTATTACAGAGCAATGTGCAATGGATGTTATTCTAATGTATTCAATACATGCAAAATTAGAATGGAGCCCACGATATTGCAATTTGTATTAGAACTTTATGGATGTGCTGTAGGGAAACATCCCAATGATTTTTTACTGTATTTATCATTAGTAGACTTCTTTGTTCAAATTTTTAAACGGTGTACACATTTGATTTTGGTTGATGTTTCTATAGGTAATGCAATTTTCTCCAAAATAATCGGTTTGCTATTTGCTATATATTCTAACTTCAATCCATTTGTTGTTGGTAGAGCGTGAAAGCTTATTTACGGAGAGGCACCGCAAGGGAGATGCTAGGTTATTATAAGGATGCCGTTGATGGTCAGTCTTTCCTTTTCCCCTTTAGTTAAATACTATATGCAAGGAATTGTCTGTTTGTTTGAACTGGATTTGATTGTGACCATGTCTTATATGCAGATTTCAACCATGCCCTTGTTCTAGAACCAATGAACAAGACGGCTGGTGTTGCCATTAACAGGCTAAAGAAGTTGTTTCCGTAAATATGAAGTTGAATTGTTTCTGCATGAAGATGTGTTGACCTCGTATTTTGTGCACACGCAAGTTTGTGCGGGGGGGGTGATTGAAGTACCTGAGTTCAACCGACAGATGCTCTATGCTCTCACAAGGTACCAAATGATCACAGCTTGAGGTAGTGGGAACATATTTTGACACGGTGATCAGATTAAGGGCCAATTTAGCTGTTTCTTCCCCCAAAGTTTTGGAAAAGCAAAATAAAACTTTTTTGGGAGTTGGTCATAGACCTATATATAGTAAACAATGTCTTCAAAAGTGGTTTACAGGTGTCCGCGATCCCCACCATGTATAATATAATATGGTTTCGCCAATTATTTGTTCAAACGCTTTGCCAATAAAACTTTTTTGCCATGCTTACCTGTACCCATCTCTCTTTGCCGTTCTGAGCTGCAGCTGTTTTTGGGCTGCCACCGGTGAGGTAGCTCGTGGAGGCTGTTAGGCCGCCATGTGCTGACGCGCAATTGCTTCACCGGCTGAACCTTTCAGCCCTTTCAGTTTCGGTTGTTTGCTTGTTGCTGTCAGTGTCGCTTAAATTTCCTGTATTATTGTAGCGGCTGTCTGCGTCAAATGATGCGTGCCTAATCGTATGTGGGTTGATCGCTTAACAAGAGATACCCCGTCCAGTGCGTGGACGTGCAAGTGGACCTGAGGGCTGAGGCTAATTCCTGTTCCAATGGATGGGTGACTCGGTGATTGCTATTGTTAGGCGTAGGCTGTTGGGTTGGTTTTGGGCCATGTACAGGAGCGCTACCGTGCTCCAGCCTACTAGCTCGTTACCCTGATTGTATACTCAGCTACTGCTAGTGAGCTACGAACATTGGACGTTGCACGTTGTGTGGACCCAGTACTGGGATGTGCAGCGTGCAAAGATTCTATTCCCCGTGCTGGTTCTAAGCTCGACGCCGTGTTGTCAATTGTCATATCGCGTGAGGCCTAGCAACGGCGCCCTGCGAGAAGAAAACTACAGTTTCACCACGGCGAACAGAGTAGCAGCCGTGACAATCACTGATTGCTGGAGTTCACCGTGAGAAAGAATCACTGATTGCTCCAGTTGTTACGCCTATCTAACCAGCCAGCCAGCCAGGGGCCTAGAACTGGAGGAGGAATCATTGGCAGCAGCGAGAAAGTACTATTGGCTGGTTTGGCGTGAGAAAAAAATATTGTTCGTTGACTGATAAGTCATGGCTTATAAGTCAAATACGACCCAGTAACCGGCTGAACAGCTGCTGGTTTGACCGGTACGCGGCGGGGCGACACGGGCGAGGCAAACACGGCAGTGCCGGCGTCCTCCCCCCGCCCAGTGCTGCTCCTTGACGACGACGTGAACAAACGGGACCGGCCAACCGGCGCCGAATGCGTTTTTCTTTGTCATTGGAACTTGGAAGTGAAAAAGCGATCCTCAGCCGCACCCGCACGGTGGAGGAGCGCTCCTTTGACTTGGCTTCCACTACCGCTACGCCCTGGCCCTGCGGCCCTGCCCAACGGAGGAGGGCGCCGTACGTGCGTGTGGTCGTAAACTAATCGTGATCGGGACCCGAAGCTGAGTCCCTTTTTCGCGAAGCTGGAGCAAAGAAAACATCCCCCTTGCACGAGCGGGTCAGGGTAGAAAGGTTCGGCGTCAACTGAACACACGCACTGGCAGTTGGCAAAGCTGCGAGCACTTTTCATATAGTGGAGGAGTATTTGGCAAACGGGGTCACAAAGGGAAATATATTATCCTTTGTTATGTTACCTAAAAAAAAGGTCAATATGTTTTTCCTTTTAATAGAAAAAGATAAATATATTTTGTGAATTCTGCACAAGATGTACAGTACACGTTGAAGTTTTTTCTTCAGCAGCGGGTTGCCATGGGCCATACATAGGGCCTTAGCCTTATCACTGCCGTGGAACTATTATTTGGGGCGACGAGTACCATGGAATTTCTCTGTGCGATCACAATCATACCCCGAGTCCAGAAAGAATGAGTGAGAGCACCAGGTACACGGTACACCACCGAAACTGAAAGCCGTGAAGTGAACAGACAGACAACATCATGCGGAACGCACCGAGCCGGAGTGCCGGACGGGGGAGCCTAGCTAGCCTCAACAGGAGCAGCATGAGCACGAGCCAGCAGGGGCCCCAGCCCCGCCCGTGGGGCGCAGGAGGAGGCTCCATGTGGCGGGTAGGTACGCCGTACGTGTTCCTTCCTGCAATCCTTCTCGGTGGCTCGCGCTTGGGTAGGCTGAGCCCCCCACCTCCTCCCCTTCTGATCCGGGCCGGGTCCGCCGGGACCATGCAACGCAACGCACATCAACAGAACTGCGCCGTGACCACAGCTCAGGCTTGAGTGAGAGACGAGACGGCGGGGGCTGTACGTACGCGACCCGAGAATGAAGAGGGCGTGACCACTCTCCCTCCCCACGACGCCGGCCGGCCGGACCGTCGTAAAGAGTATTCGAGGCTCGGTTGACGAGTTTTCGTGGCCGCCTCCGCAGGCAGGTTCACGCTAGCTGGCTGGCTAGCTGCCCTTGGCCCTCTGAGTAGAGTTACTGTGCCCTACTCGTGGTGCATCGTCGCTGAGACATCTTTGTCCCTCGACCTCGCTCGACACCGGCAGCGAAGGTCTTAGGCTGCGTTCGGCTGTTGGGAATTTCAGCCGGAATTCACTGTTCATGCTCCAGATTCCTCCAAATTCCACCGTGTATCCAGCTGCACAAAACCAGTTCTCTCTCCAACAAGTGACCCAAGCAGTATATGGTCGGGAGTCGGGACTCGCGCGGTGCCCCCATGTGACGCTCTGGACTGGGATCGGTTGCATTATTATTGATTATTCACCTCCTCCCATCGATCATATATGGGTCTACCGCCTGCCGGAAACGCAACTACTTGGACGAAGCCTGTCTCCGCGCGTGCGTCGTTGCTGCCTGTGAGCCTGTCCCTCCGCTCCCCTCCTCGTGGTCTCGAGCGAGATCGCAGGAGGCGCAGGCGCAGACCGACCGATCGCGAGGACCATCTCGGCGTCAGGCTGCTTCGGCCGGTTCCATGCTGCTGCGCTGCCGCCTTTCCGCTGCCAGATCTAGAATCTAACAGACCATATGCTCCGAGCATTTTTCTTTTCTTTTGGGGCGCCAGCAGCAACCCACAGCATGTGGCCGCTGCAGTGTTGGCGCTCGCTTTCTTTTACGCCATTTCCTCGAGGGGCCCATGCATGCATGCAATGCGCTCGCGGCCGCTGCACCTTTATTTGTAGTAGGAGCCGCCGGCCGAGACGCCGAGTTGTGTTGTAGCGCCGGTGGGGCTTTTGCACTGCTCGGGCGTTCGCGTCACCTCGATCTCCGGCGTGGAATTCATGGATGTCACTGTGATCGCGCAGGAGGATTCGCGGCGTCTCTGTGGCGGCGTTGAAACTTCTGCTAGCTCCACACGGGGGGTCATCAGGCCGGGGCAGTTTTCTCCGACCGGTTGGTGAACTGCACCTTTCGAGATCTCTGTCTCGACTGACAGTTACTCGCGCGTGGGTCGTTCTCCAGTGTTGCAAGGAGAGTAGGCGGTGACCAGTAATTGAGTAGACGGTTAGCTGGTTTTTGTTGTAGCTAGCTTACCGATCGACAGGACCGGTTACCTTACACGATTGGTAAGTAGGGCGTCTCCTCGCGATCCCCAAGTCCACTGCTATACACTAGGCTGGTCGCCTACTCGCAAAGAAAATTAGTGCTAATAGTCAGATTCATATTTCTGTAGCATTTCTTGCCATGGTTTTCAATCCTTACTAATGCGTGGTGGCATTCATATATACTCCATCTGTTTCAAAAGAAAAAATAGGTACACTTCCACCTACAGTGCTAAGTTAAACAATCTTCAGTTTAAATATTTATGATACTCCCTCTGTCCTAATATATAAGGCGTAACCACTTTTTGTTCATGTCCCATAATATAAGGCGTGCTCTTTCACATACATCAATGCAGGAGTACAAGTGTTGAGAGAGAGAATTAAATGCGTTCTTGGTCTTTGTACCAGAGGTGGTTATGCCTTATATTCTAGGACGGAGGGAGTATTAAATAAGTATTACTAAATTTATTACGAAATACATTCTTATAGTACATCTATATTTAGAAATCATAGTTGTTTATATTATTCTTTATAATGTATTCAAAAGTAAAATAGTTCGACTTGAATCGGAGGTACCTTTCGAGACGGGGAGAGAAAGAGAGAGGAGCGTCATTCTTTTGTCAAAAGAAACGAACCTCTCACGTCCTCCACAGTTTCGATTCCCTCTACTCCTGCACCTAGGTAGAGGTAGGCTGTAGGCAGAGGCACTAGATAGGTACAGTACAGTACGTACCTACCTAGCCCATGGATGGCTTCTCCTTGCTTCGCAGTTGCACGCTCACACTCACGAAGCCACGGCAGGTCCCAACTCCCAACCGATGGATGCTCTCATCCCCATGCCATGTTTTCCTTCGTTGATTGATCTCAGTCTCAGCTGCTTTCGATGTGCCTCTCTGGGCTGGGCTTTTTGTTGACTGCCATCTGCTCCGTCCGATCCGGCTCGCGCGCGTTGCGTTCCGTCTCGCTCGCTCGTTTCACCACCCTCGCTAGCTTGAGACGGAGAGATGCTACCTCTCCCCGGATCATCATCCTTGCTGACGATGCATGCAAGAGCTTGTTGCTTTTCAGTGACAAGCCACTGCAACCACAAAATGCCTGAGCTGCCAAGAGGACTATTGCATCGCATCGCTGCGACTGGTAGCGTGTACGTAGTGCTCGTGCGTCGCGCAACGGAACCGTGCTAGCTTACTTGGTGATCCTAGATCTCAAGACCTCGAGCGGTTCATCCTACTCCAGGTATACCGATGCCGAGCTCGACTCCTGCCGTGGATTGCTATCTTTTTGTGTGTGGAGGAGCCGCCCGGGCGGGCGGGAGGTGGGCGCCCGTCCCCACGCCTGCGGGCTGCCTGCACATGGAACCGCCGACCGCGCCATGCT